CAGGAATGAAATCTGCCTGCAGAGAGTGCATGTGATCCAGTTACGGATTCAGCATCTTGGTGCTCCATTTTTTCATTTATTTGGGTTATGTAAAATTTTTTAAATTTCATGCCTTTTTCATTGATCATTTCACTTATTCAGTTTTGAAAACGATGTCACATTTATTGTCATGAGAAATGTATTATAAGGTTGGGTCTGTTTTTCTCAGTACACATGGATAAATATATGTAAGTTCTGTATTATATCAGAAACTGAATTTAGAGACTTTTAATTGCTGTGCTTCTAGAATGCATTGCCTAAATGTTCACTCAGGAGAGTGGGTCTGAAAGACATATAGGAGGGACCTGGCCATTACCTGCAAGAGGACAAAGCCTGCCAGCGGCACTTGTAGAACCTGAGTCCCCTTACTTTCAGGGGTGGCAGCTGGAGGCTGAGTACAGGTGGTCTCAGGGGAGATTGGGACTTGGGGAGGGTCTCACTGCTTAATCAGCTCTCTGACCCCCAAGGATACAGGGGACCCTGAGACGGTATTAATAAGGAGATGACAGACCCTGTTTTAGGAATAGAGGCGGGACCGAGCCCAGTCTATTGTCCGGAGTTTTTCCCAAGGTCACCAGAGCAGGACAGTTCACAGTGTAAAAGGGAATCATTTCTGCTACATCTTTATGCTCTCTTGAGGCTTCCTAGCAAGGTCACATGCTAAGACCGTCCACCTTGGAATGTTCTCGTTAAGCAGCAGTCGTCTTAGGTGACACTGAGGGGCTCCCAGCCCTGAGATGGGGCAGGGTGTGCTGTCATGGCTGTTTTTACTGTAGCTGCTTGTTTACGCTGGTTCATGCTCACAGTCAGCCCACCTGCCCCATGGTTCTGTTTTTCAGGAGTGCCTGTAAGTAGCCGGGTATCAGCAAAAATCCAGCAGCTTGTCAACACCCTCAAACGACCCAAACGACCACCATTGCGGGAATTCTTCGTCGATGACTTTGAAGAACTGCTGGAAGGTGAAAGAGCCCATTCATACCCGCTCTTCCAGTGTTTCTGTGACCCTATAGAGTATAGTGTTTTTCTACCAAGGCTGTTAGACTTTTTAAGAACAGTAGTCTTGGTGTTCCTGGGAAGACAGGGATCCTGCCTAGAAACTGTAGGTACTATTCCCCAAGGTCCCTTTAAAGATACGCCAGTCCCAGCACAGTTGGGTTGATACCATTTGTGTGTCACTCGCAGCAGAATGCGATTTTGTCCCGTGAGCCAGGCCTCTTTCTAAGGACTCCTTGAGGCTGCAGGAAAGATGGTGTTGATAACTCATAGACACCCTGAGGAATAGGCTTTAGAGGAATGCAGAGTGAGCCGTGGCAGATCTCACCTTCCTGCCTCTCGTGACAGCTTCAGGAGCTGGTGTTCTCAACCCCTGAACAGTCCTGAGCCTTTTAACACAAACAACTAAAAATTGAAACAAAGTACTGCTTGTTGTATCAAACCCAAACTGCTTATTTTCTTGCTCTTTATACCACAAGACATAGCTGATTTTCTAGCCAGCAGGTGGAAATTGCAAATCATCAACTATAAGAGAAACCTTTCCCAGAAGTGAGAATAATCTCTCAGATTCTTACCTATCTAAAGAGTTGGGCAAATTGTTTTTATTATGGGGCGTTTATTTTTGTTATACTTAAGAAAATATGTGCTGTGCTAGTTATTCATAGTAGCTGTAGCAAATTCAAATCTACATCTCAGTATTTAAGGGAAAAATATAATTCAGCAAGATTTGAGCTCTTTGGAGTCTGTAATTACTAGTGTATGTCGATAACCGATGTTTTAAACATGGCAATCCTAGACTCTAGGCATGTTAAAATGCATAGTTTTACTTGTCAGTTTATAAATGCATTCAGGTCTCTCTAAGTTCCACACCCTGACTTTGCCTTGGAAATTGTAAGAATTAAGTGCTTTTGTTACATCCATGAGGCTCATGTGTCGGTCATAGCTCTAATTCTAGAAAAACACCTGTGCATGTTTCCTGTCCTCTAATAAATTTCTAACTCCAGTGTAAGTCTTCTAGCTTCCTTAAAAGGAATAAAAAAGTGATTGTGCTAATATGGATGTGTTTTTCTTGAAAACCTTTTGTGTTCAAATGTATTTAGTTCAACAACCAGATCCAAACCAGCCAAAGCCAGAGGGAGCCCAAATGTTGGCGATGCGTGGGGAACAGCTGGGTGTGGTTACAAATTGGCCCCCATCTTTAGAAGCAGCGTTACAGCGATGGGGGACCATCTCACCAAAGGCCCCGTGCTTGACCACGATGGACACGAATGGGAAACCTCTGTACATCCTCACTTACGGTAATCCTGTGAGGCTTATCCACCTTTTGTTTGTTTGTGCCTGCACACAACTGTCACTTTCAGGGTGGCTGATCCATATTTGTGTTGCCTTGTGTTTCTAATGCAGAAATAAATGGAACCTGAAAGGAATATTATAGGAAAATTATTTGGTTTGAATATGAAGTTACTATTTGTTAAATGTTTCTGAGTAAAATCCAGAAAGTGATATAAAAAATTAGTGATTATAACTCTAATAAGATGTTAGATTTTACCTCTTGGAATGTATATTAATTAAATTAATGCTTTCAAGAAGGATTGGTAGTTAAAGAATGTATATCAGAACTCTTTGACATGTGTCACTCCCTCAGAAGAAACAGAATCTGTTTCCAAAGTGCTTTTTCAGAAAGCAAGAGAAACAAACTTTTCTTTAATTCTTTATTCAGTACCATTAATGCAGTCCATAAACTTGGAAATAGTTAACTGTACCAGAGAGATTCCTTTCTCTTTGCTCCACGGATAAGAGGCGGAGAAAGCAAATTTTCAGGTCATTTTCACACTCTGTTACAGTTTTGCAAAGGAACAAGCTTCATAACAAAAACACCAAAATGGCTTATATTATGTCTGCATGTGTGAGGTTAGATTACCTTTTTTTAACTTTCAGGTTTGTTTTTAAGATGATAATGCTCTTCTAATTGCAGGAGAGAAAGTGTTTTCTCCATTAGCAATGGAGGTCAAGAGCCAGGTGTTAAGGATTATAGCCCAGCCTTTTAGTGGGTGTGGGGCCTGTGAGGCACCCACTGTGCCTCAGTCATTATCCTGTGCATCTCATGGAAGGAAATGGGATTTAGGAACATATGTTTTCATAGTCTCATTTTTTTTTTTTTCTGGCTTTGCTGGGAAATTCTGAGTGGAGTGGATAGAGGGTATTTCACCCATCATGAGGCATAAGATTCATTTTTTAAAAGTTATACTCTTGGAAATAGATTTTAGTCAGTCAAAAAGACAGAGGACTTTCCTATCTGACCTTCATCTCTTGCCAGATTCAGCCATGGAGCTGATTGTGTACTGTTTTCCAAGCATCATTTATTGAAAGACTGTCCTTTCCCCTTTCTTGGCTCCTTTGTCATAAATTAGTTGACATACATGCATGGGTTTATTTTTGGACTATTCTGTTTCATTGATCTATGTGTCTGTTTTTGTGCCAGTGTCATACAGTTTTTCATTACTGGTAGTTTTGTAATGTCAGGGAGTATGATGTTTCTAGCTTTGTTTTTCTTTCTCAAGGTGGCTTTGGCTATTTGGGGTCCTTCATGGTTTCATACAAATTTTAGAATTGTTTATTCTATTTCTGTGAAAAATGCCATTGGAATTTTGATAAGGATTGTGTTGAATCTATAGATTGCTTTGAGTAGTACAGACATTTTAACAATATTCTTCTGATCCATGAGCAGAGAATATATTTCTATTTATTTGTGTCATCTTTAATTTCTTTCATTAAAGTCATAATTTTTAACGTACAGGTCTTTTCCCTCCTTGATTAAATTCATTCCTAGGTATTTTATTCCTTTTGATGCAGTTGTAAATGGGATTGTTTTCTTGATTTCTGATAGATTTTTATTAGTGTATAGACAGAACAGTTTCTGTGTATTGATTTTGTATCTGCTACTTTACTGAATTCATTTATTACTCTGTTTTTCTGTAGTCTTTAAGTTTGTCTATATATAATGTCATGTTATCTGCAAGTAGTGACAGTTTTTCTTCTTCCTTTCCAGTTTGGATGCTTTTTATTTCTTTTTCTTGCCTTATTATTCTGACTAGGACTTACAATGCTATGTTGAATAAGCATGGCAAAAGTGTCTTGTTCCTGAATCTTAGAGGAAAAGCTTCCAGCTTTTTACTGTTGAGTATGCTGTTAGCTCTGAGCTTGTAAACATATGACTTTTATTTTGTTTGTAAACATATGAGTTTTATTTTGTTGAGAATTTTTATCATAAATGGATGTTGAATTTTGTCAAATGTTTTTTCTGCATCTGCTGAGATGATCGTATGATTTTTATCCCTCATTATGTTATTAATGTGCTGTGTCACATTCATTGATTTGCGGATGTTGAACCATCCTTGCATCTCTGGAATAAATCCCACTTGATCATGGTGTATGAGCATTTTAACATATTATTAAATTTGGTTTGCTAATGTTTTGTTGAAGATTTGTGCATCTGTGTTCTTCAGGCCTGTAATTTTCTTTTCTCATGGTGTCCTTGTCTTGTTTTGATATCAGGGTAATGCAGGCCTTGTAAAATGAGTTTGGAAGTGTTTTCTCAACTTTTGTTTTTTGGAAGAACTTGAGAAGGATTGGTATTAATTCTTCTTTGAATGTTTGGTAGAATACACCAGTGAAGCTATTTAGTCCTGGACTTTTGTTTGTGGAGAGGGTTTTGGTTACTGATTCAATCTCCTTACTAGTAAACGGTCTGTTTAGATTTTCTGTTTTTTCATCGTTCAGTCTTGGAAGGTTGTATGTTTCTAGGAATTTGTTTCTTCGAGGTTGTCCAGTTTGTTGGTATGTAATTGTTCGTAGTAATCTCTTATGATCATTTGTATTTCTTTAATACCAATTGTAATGTCTCTCATTTCTGATTTTATTTATGAGTCCTCTTTTTTCCCTGGGTGAGTCTAGCCAAAGGTTCGTTAATTTTGTTTATCTTTTTAAAGAACCAGCTCTTGATTTCATTGATCTTTTCTATTGTCATTTTAATCTCTATTTCATTTATTTCCGCTCTGATCTTTGTCATGTTCTTCCTTCTACTAACTTTGGGCCTCATTTGTTCTTCTTTTTCTAGTTACTTGAGATGTAAAGTTAGGTTGAGATTTTTCTTGTTTCTCGAGATAGACGTTTATCTGTGAACTTCCCTCTTAGAATTGCTTTTGCTGTATCCCTTAAGTTTTAGTATGTTATATTTTCATTTTCATTTGTCTCAAGGTGTTTTTTACTTTCTCTTTTGATTTCTTTGTTTTGTTGGTTGTTGGATAGCATGTTTTTTAATCTCCACAAAGATGTAAATTTATCAGTTCTCATAATCTATTTCTAGTTTGATAACATTGTGGTCAGAAAAGATGCTCAATATGATTTCAGTCTTCTTAAATTTAAGACTCGTTTTGTGGCCTAAGATATGATCTATCCTGGAGAATGTTCAACATGAGCTTGAGAAGAATGTTTATTCTGCTGCTTTTCAATAGAGTGTTCTTTATATTATCTATTAAATCTATCTGGTGTAATGTGTAATTTAAGGCTGATGTTTCCTTATTGATTTTCTGTCTGGCTGGTCTGTTCATTGATGTAAATGCGGTATTAAAATCCCCTACTCTTATTATATTGCTGTTGTTTCTCTCTTTATGCCTGTTAATGTTTGCTTTATATATTTAGGTGCTTCTATATTGGGTGCATAAATGTATCCAGATGTTATATTTGCTTGTTGGATTTACCCTTTATATTACATAATGTCCTTTGTCTTGTTACAGTCTTTGTTTTAAAGTTGATTTTATCTGTTATAAGTATAGCTACCCCAGCTTTCTTTTGGTTTCCATTTACATGGAATATCTTTTTCTGTCTGTTCACTTTCATTTTGTGTGTGTCTTTATACTTGAAGTGGGTCTATTGTAGAAGTATGTAGATGAGTTTTGTGTTGTTGTGTTTTTTTTAATTCATTCACCCAATGTGTCTTTTGATTGGAGAATTTAGTCTGTTTACATTTAAAGTAGTTATTGATAGGTATGACTTTATTGCCATTTTTTTAATTGCTTTCTAGCGCTTTTGTAGTTCCTCTGTTCCTTTAGTCTTCTCTTACTCTCTTCCTTTGTGGTTTGATGACTTTCTTTAGTGGTGTGCTTAGATTCCTTTCACATTATTTTTTGTGTATCTACTATAGGCTTCTGCTTGATGGTTACCATGAGGCTTACATATAACATTTATAATAGTCTGTTTTAAGTTGATTAAAAACTTAAGTTTGAGTACATTCTCAAGCCCTACATTTTTAGTCTTCCCCTGTTTTATGTTTTTGATGTCACATTTTACATCTTTTTATCTTGTGTATTCCTGAACTAACTGTTGTATTTACTTTTACTACTTCTGTCTTTCAGCCTAATACTAGGTTTATAAGTGATTAATCTACTACCTTTACTAAATATTTACCTTTACCAGTGAGACACATATTTTCTTGTTACAAATTAGTGCCCTTTCTTTTCAGCTTAAATAAGTTCCTTTAACACTTTTTTTGTAAGGCTGCTATATTGGTGATGAACTCCTTTAGCTTTTTGCTTGTCTGGAAAACTTTATCTGTCCTTCAACTCTTTTTTTTTTTTTTTTTTTTTTTTTTTGCGGTACATGGGCCTCTTACTGTTGTGGCCTCTCCCGTTGCAGAGCACAGGCTCTGGACGCGCAGGCTCGGGGGCCATGGCTCATGGGCCCAGCCACTCTGCGGCATGTGGGATCTTCCCAGACCGGGGCACAAACCCGTGTCCCCCGCATCGGCAGGTGGACTCTCAACCACTGCGCCACCAGGGAAGCCCTGTCCTTCAATTCGGAATGATAACTTTGCCCAGGAGAATATTCTTGGTTGGATTTTTTTTTTTCTTTCTCCTTTCTAAATCAGTCAAGAACTGTTTTATCTTCTTAAATTTAAATCATCAATTTACTCTTTATTTTTTTCTATTTGAAAAATATTTCTAGAACTTGCCAAAAGTGTGTTGTTTCCTGTTTCAAACTCTCTGTTGTAAATTGGCTTTTGTATGAATTTATGATGATCTCGACGTTAATATTCCAAACTGAGAATGAAGTTGAAACTTTAACAAAATATAATGGTGCTAACTGTTTGATTGTAATTGATTTGTTTGTTTACAATGTGTTGATTTTTTTTCACTTACAACAAGTTGATTGTAATTGTTTATTCAACTATAATAATTTCCTAACATTGTTCACATTAAATAAATCTGAAGGCACAAAATATTTGTGATTTCTTTAGGAAAAAATAATTCCCTGCATTATTTCTAATGGCTAGTGACTATTTGGGGCAAAAATATAATGATCAAATAATTGTAAAATAGCCAGTCTTGAGGAGGTGCAGTTAAGGTGGAGGAGGGGCATGAATAAAACATCACACCTAGTATCTACTCTCAGTGATCAAGAAGTAGGCTAGGGCTTCCCTGGTGGCGCAGTGGTTGAGAGTCCGCCTGCCGATGCAGGGGACACGGGTTCGTGCCCCGGTCCAGGAAGATCCCACATGCGGCGGAGCGGCTGGGCCCGTGAGCCATGGCCGCTGAGCCTGCGCGTCCGGAGCCTGTGCTCCACAACGGGAGAGGCCACAACAGTGAGAGGCCCGCGTACCGCAAAAAAAAAAAAAAAAAAAAGAAGTAGGCTAAAATGTATACTGCGATTTTGTTTTTTATAGCTTGCTTTATTATGATGTTAATAAAACAAACATTTGTTGAGCACCTACTATGAGCGAGGAATGTCCTAGGAATTATAGGAATCAGAGATAAGGGAAAAATCCTCCTTGTCCCCCTAATCACTAAGGAAGAGACAAATTGATAAATCCATTGATAGGAAAACAGTAAGAACCCTAGTTTGGGTTGCTGCAAAATCCAATATGAAATAAAACAAATTCAGGTTTTTTTCATTTCATAATTTAATTTCCTAATTAAAGTGTATATTAATTTAGCTTTTACATTTAAAATAGGAAAAAGATTAGAGCAGTGATTGCATTTATAGGAAATAGTTCAAATTGTTGTTATCTTTGTTATACTATTATTGCATTAATATAATTTCTAACACCTTGACTGCTTCTGAAAGCTTATAGAAGCTAAAGTTGTAAAAGGCCTTTATGTGTCCAAGAATTCATGTTAGATTTTAAAGTCATTTTGGTTTGATCTCAGACTGTTTGTTGTCACCTGGGTATGCTGAGGAAATGTCTGGCACTGGGATGAAGGCAGGGATTTGAATCTGCACGTTCTTCAAAACTGGTTATTTTTCTCATGTTTTTTTAATCTTTTTAATCCTGATTTGTGATGATTTTTTCTAGAGTTCAAAACTTTAAAATAATTCAAAAATTGTACCATAATCTTTATCTAAATTCAGGGATTAGGATTCCAAAATCCTAACTGTTAGGAAAAGTTGAAGTTGAGAAACTTAGGATGTGGGGAAGGAGAGGGATAGGCCCTACAAAGCCTGTCTTAAGTGCCCTTTACATTCATTGCAATCACACAAGACAGGACTCATTAATAGAGGAAACAGGTGTCATTTTGCACAACATAAATTAGCATTAACTCACTAATGCCGTGATCCCTGCCCTATTTTACTCCCTAGAAATCCTCCCCACTTCTGTGATGGTAATTAAATTCTCTGTGGCTTTGCTCTAGGTTCTTAGCATCCTAGGTGTATTTGTATTTAATACCTTATTCCAGTGTTCAGGCTTCTCAGATTTTTAAGTCAGATTTGTGGGCTTTTGTTTCCCATCTTGATTCCAGGGACTCAGAATAACTTGAAAGGCTTAAAGTGAAAAAGTAATACTCTCTATATAGGTTAATGTGCACACATATACACAACAGAAAATGCATGTGTACAATTAATTGTGTCTTTATAATTTGTATTGATAGGCAAACTGTGGACAAGAAGTATGAAGGTTGCTTACAACATTCTGCATAAATTAGGTACAAAACAAGAACCTATGGTGCGACCTGGAGATAGGGTAAGTGCAATTTAAATTATCACATCTGCAAAACACGTGGTCTGAGGTGGAGAAGACACCCACTGTTTTAAAGTTGCAAAGTTCAGTGCCTCCATACTACTAAATCAGGCTTTCTTAACATTTACTGTGAACCAGAAGCATTCAGCAG